CCAGCAGGAGGCCCGTGGTTGGCAGGCAGTCTTTCCTTCGAATGTGAGTGCTGTGCAGTGACACCCGTGTCAAGCCTATGGCTTTTCAAGTCAGCAGAGAGACAGCCTTCTGGGACCATCAGCAGCGTGGCCACATCCCTAGCGCCCAGCAGGAGGCCCATGGTTGGCAGGCAGTCTTTCCTTCGAATGTGAGTGTTGTGCAGTGACACCCGTGTCAATCCTATGGCTGTACAGACAGACACGCTTTTCAAGTCAGCAGAGAGACAGCCTTCTGGGACCATCAGCAGCGTGGCCTGAGCTTAGGTAACGTGACGAAGAGCTGGCAGACACAGCTGAAAGAAGGCGGCGGCAGTGAGCGGGGAGGTGGCCGCCTGATGTGGAGGGGCGCAGTGGCAGCACACCACAGAAAGCAGAGAGAGGGCAGAAAGCCAAGGCTGGAGAAACACTGAGGCTGCCAGGAGCCAGAGGCAAGAAACTACAGGGCTGGTGGCTGAGCTCGAAGCCGGAGGGCCACAGTTCCAATGCCCTGGGCTCGCAGCTGCAGCACTGGGCGCTGTCAGGGCGCAAACACCCCAGGACCAAAAGCTTCCATGAGCTGCTGTGGAAGCTGAGGGTCCCACTTCGGAGGCCCCTCAGGAGCTGGGACACTGGCAAGGCCCTGGCGGCGGTGGCGGCTGCTGCTGAAAGCCGAAGATTACAACAGCTGCCAGCACCAGTACTGCTACTGGTTAAAGTCCCAAGCAAATAAGCCGCCACCTGAGCATCTATAGTTGTAAATCTCTGGTTTCTGAAGCTTAGTGCAAAATGCCACTAGCTCTCAGGCTTGAAGCCGTAAGCCTCTGGGTCTGCCAGTCCAGCCTCTGGGCCTTGGGCCCTCACAGAGCTTCTCCTCCCCGGCTCTGTCTGGCCAGAGCTGGGGCACTGTGTAACTCTGTGCTACTTCTTTCCTTGCTTATAAATGAGAAGGTGTAAACCGGTTGGCCACAGATGGACTCCATCTGGAAGCAGAGGGGCCCATTCTCTCCAAGTGCAGCCGCCAAGTGAGTTATACCAAGCGGCCAGGGTAAATCATGGGCCCGAGCTTGGAGGAACCCAGAATGGGAGGCAGGAAGAAGTGGCAAAGGTTACTTGACGCAGTCAGATCACTCTCCTAGAGCTTTTAGGCTCCTATCCAAAGATTTTTATTGGGTTTTGAGTTTCTACATCCCATTTTGTTCAGTGTCTGTATTGGTCCCAATTCCAACATGGGGAGAGGGTGCTGTCCAGCTCAACTTCCTTGGCTAGAGAGCACCTAGCCATGACGGCACAGCCCCTGCACTGCCTCTCCCTTGAATGCCATGTCGTATCGGCACAGGCTCAATGGCAGTCCAGGTTCTCTACCAGCTACACACCAGACTACATCACAGTCTCCTAGGGCCAGGAGACACTCCCCTCAGTGTGCCCTTCCAAGGCCGAGGGGGAAGATGTGTGGGTTCGGGCTGGAGGTCATTTGCAGGTGGCATAGTAGAGCACGCGCCCATTGATATAGCTGCGGATCTGCTCTACGCGCTTCTCCAACCCTGTCAGGTCCGCTGAGCGCAGCATGACAGCCTGGCTCCCACGCAGCAGTTCCGACTCCATGTCTGATGGAATAGTCAGGGGAGGAGGTGTAGATGGTGAGTCCCCCAAGGACTCCCAGCCTGTCCTTCCCACCCCCGACCCAGAGGCAGCAGGCTCGGGAGTGTCTCCCCAAATGAAGTGGAGTCAACCTCTGAGGCAGCCAGGGGTCTCTCCCACCAGCCGCCTCTCCAGCCCCATATCACTCTTAGCAAAACCTGCCAGGCCCAGGCCTAGGAAAGACCCACTCTCAGTCGCCCTCTGCCTGTCCCTCTCCTCCACTCCAGGCTCTCCTGGTTGTCCCAGGGATACGAGAAAACATGCCCCATCCCCAAGATTAGCAATCCAGGCTAGGTGTGCAGACAGCTGAGAGCTCACCAATGACCTCCAAATGGCTACCTTAGCAGTGGGTTTCCCCATGTTCCCTCCCTAAAGTATCAGTCCAGGAAAAGCTCCTTGCCCTCCCTGCCCCCAGTGCATCCACACACCATCTCTAGAATAGGTCATGAGGTTTGAAGTTCTCCAAAGTGATCTGGTCAGCTTGTCCCCTGGGTGGGAGTCCCCTTTACCACATCCGACAGCCTGAACCTCACCAAGGTAGGAAGGGACTGTGCTCTGCCTCACAACTGCTTTAGGCTGCGCTGGTTATGTCAGAAGCCATCCTCTCACAAGGCCCAAACCTGACGGCTTCTTACTTCTGCCTGCACAGTTGTCCCATACTTGTCTCCTGGAGGACAAGCCTCTGTCTTCTCTGTTCCCAAAGGACAGTGCTGCACACCTGAGCTTTACTTCCAAGATAAACACTTCCTCAGCTGCTGTGCTCCTCTTTCTCTTCCTGCCCACCCACATCACTCCTTTCCTGATGGTTGCAGACAGTTCGTAGCCCTCAGCATCCCCAGCACAGCGCAGGAGCATTGGCCCTGGGCTGATATGCAGCCAGTAGACATTCCCCGTGAATCTCCAGGGTGATGAACACTGAACACACTCACAATGTTAAACAGCCACTGTTCCAAGCCCTGGCCCCCACCCCAAGAAGGATCATGCGAGAACCTCCTCATTATCATCTAATTAAAGGCAAATTTTAACAATAGATAAAGGGCTGCTCCTATGCCCCCTCTGCTTGGTGGGTCCACGGCACACCAGTGCCAAGTCATTTTCCTATCACTCCTGAGGCGTTGTATCCCCTTAGTTTGACTGCTTTGTTAAGGCTTCTGGCAGTGAACAAGACCTTGCTGACTTAGAACTTTCAATGACTCAGAACTCCTGGGTCTCTTTCCAGTGAAGGAACAGCTTGTACTTAACACCACTTACCAGTTACAAAGCACTTCCAGTGACGTGAGCCACAAAGAAATGTCACCTGAGACGTGGGCTAGTGACGGAGGCCCACACATGGACAGAGGTGCCTTTTCCCCTTACGTAATCTCAACAGACTGGTTCCAGCCCATCTTTTTAGATGTTCCGACTCCCTTGGAACACCGATTGTTTTTTGGTGTGTTAACTATCCGTCATCTTCAGATGCACATACAATACTGACGGACAAGGCCACAAAAAGCATGGAGCCAGCCTCCAGCTCTTCCTGCCCTCGGAGGTGGGTGGCACAGCTTCTCACCATCACCACAAACCCACCAACCCACCTCTTCTGCGGTGGCAATCTGGACGCACAATGATTTTTGCTAACTATTTTTGTTGAAATTCAGAGAAAAAATGCTTGTGGCTGGACACGGCTGGGTGACTCCACCAGCACATCTTTGTTCGGACTGGTTCCTAGGAGCCTCTTTTCCTCAGAACCCCTTCCAAAACTATTACCCTCATGTCTCCACCATGTTCAGAACTCCCAGACGGTTCCCCGCTGCATCCCAAGTCTACACACCTCATCTAGGCAGTGAGGAGTAAGGTGACCATCTTCCCCTGGTTCCTCTCCTGTTGGGTAAGCCCTGTGCCACCCTCAGAGCACTCCTCCTCCCCCTCCCCCTCCCCCTCCCCTTCCTTCTCTTCTCCCTCCTCCTCCTCCCCTTCCCTCCTCCCCCCTCCCTTCCCTCTTCCTCACCTCTCAGAAGACAGGAAGAAAAGGCCCCATCTGGACTTTGAGTTTCTCCAGAGCGGGCCGTGTCACGGGCAAGTCTCTGCACTCCTGCAGCCCCGTCACTGCTAGGTGCTCAGTAAGTCTTGCCTGGTCTCATTCCCTGAGCACTACCGGCTTGGCTCCAACAGGAATGGGCTCAGGAGTCCCAGAGGGACAGGCCAGCAAGATGGCTCAGTGAGCGAAGGCACCTGCCACCAAGCCTGATGACTTCAGCTCAATTCCCGGAACCCACAGGTAGAAGGAAAGAACCAACTCCCCCAAGTTGTCCCTGACCTCCACACACACATGCTGTGGCACATGTGTGTCCACACACATTCACAGACAATATGTAAATAAAAACGCAACCACCTTCCAGGATGCCCACCAGCCACGCTCCTGACCAGCCTCACCTTTCATTCTGTCCATCATCTCTATGGTCTCCTCAAACAGCTCCTCTGCCTCTGTCTTGATGCTCAGAATCCGGCTGCCCTGCTCACCCAGCATGGGGCTCCGACCCAGCCGGTCCTTCAAGTCTGCATACTTTTGCTTTACCCTCTCAAAGCCCTAGAAAAGGCAGAATAATTTTGATGTCACCATCAACATCACTGGAAGTCCTAGAGGCCTGTGGCTAACCGATACCACGCAAATCAGCACACAACCTCCTAGGATCCCCAAGGGTAGGCTTTGCCTGTAAACTTCTACCCCTGGGCCCTAGCAGAGGTCTTAAAATTCTGTCTCCCCTACCCTCTAGCTCCTGTTACATCATGCCTCATCTTACTTCAAGCACAATGCCAGGTACAGAATCGTAGTTTAATATTAAGGCATATTGGCAACTTGGTCACTAGACCAGGATTGTGCATGCCTACATTCCTGCCCTGGGGAAAGCAGGGGGTCCGTCTGAGATTCGGAGGATGCCTCTGATCTCTGTTCTAATTCTGACTGAGAAAGAGACCAGAGTATCTGGCCAAGCTGGAGACAGAGGCGGTGAGCTCTAGAGTGGGCATTGACTAGCACTTTTGTCGCTGGATATGGTAGCAAAGGTCTTTAATCCCAGCGTGCAGGAGGCAGAGGCAGGCAGATCTCTGTGAGTTCCAGGCCAGTCTGGTCTCCGTAGCAAGTTCCAGACCAGCCAAGATTACATAGTGAGGGCCTGTTGAGAGAGAGAGAGAGAAAGAGAGAGAGAGAGACTTTGTCGATGAACTTGGGCCTGGGGACAGGTCACCACCTCATTTGTAAAAGAGAGCACCTGGGATGGCCATCCTCAGTGTCCTCCACCAGCGACCCCAGAGGAGCAGTGGTTGGATTCAGACACAGGCTATGATTCTGTCCTATGTGCCTTTCACTCCATAAAGGTTTGGAGGCCCCTCCTGCTCAGGAGCCCCACCCTGGTTACGCATAACTAGGATGACTTTGCTCTCTTTGTACCTCCTGGGCACTCAGGGCCTGCTCACTGGCACCCTCTGCAAGTTGCTGGGCCTGTGCTGCCTGTGCCTGCTCCTGCCGGGCCTGGCGACGGAGCTCCTCCATTCGCTCCCAGAAACCACTCATCTGCTCCATCATGCTTGTTACCAGCCTTCCCGCTGGCCCAAGGACCTGCTGAA